TACATTCTTATGATAATGAATATACTTCATCTTTGTTTAATTTTTACATAATTGGTGTAGTACAACTTCATCTTTGTTTAATTGTTTAATATTACATAATTGGTGTATATTCATTAACATAAGAATGTACTACACCAATTATGTAATATTAAACAAAGATGAAGTATATTCATTAACATAAGAATGTACTACACCAATTATGTAATATTAAATTTCTGCACTATACATAGAAAGACATATACATGTCAGGATAAAGTATCACACATGCAAGTCCACAACATTTATATGAACCTTGGAGAATGAAAGTGGTGTTCGTGCTATTCTATACTCAGAAATAACTATGAAGTAATCTCACTGTATACCCATTGCTTTTGTTTAAATGTTAACTTTGAAGCCAATGCTCATTTACAATGTAGGGTCTGTACAAGTTAGTCAGTGAACTACGTTGAGTTCACAAATTTCATCAACTGTGACGTGTTTGATTGTAAAACAATACAAATTTATGTATTAAATGTCTTTACAGGTTCTGTAAAATCATGGGATGCACTTATGCCTAAGATGAAATATGCTCTGCTGTAGCTACTATTGTGTCTCACTGAAATGCACAAAAATAATTCATTCAGTTTATCATGGAGGTTGTTAATAACTTTTATAAATACCTTAGTTACATCTTACTTTAGAGGGCATGTCCAGTGTATTTCTTAAACTATTCCTCTTCAACTTGTATGCAAGTGTTATATCCATTTTCTGAAAGCATACAGGAAGTTGTTGAATTACTTGTTAAAAGTAATTTACTTGTTTGTTCTAAAATGGAAAAAGGGTTCTAAACATGTAAATCATGTTTTACAAAATATGATATTAATAATTACTTAAAAAATACCTCACCCATTAAACATTGAAAGAATAACATACACTTCAGTGCTAATGGTCTAATATCAATTTTATAATTTTTGTTCATGGAAATTAACACTTCCTGCAGAAATATTTAGTTCCAGTTGTATGGCAAATTAAATGTGAAAGAGTAAACATTGAAAGAGTAACATACACTTAAGTGCTAATGGTCTAATATCAATTTTAGAATTTTTGTTCATGGAAATTAACACTTCCTGCAGAAATATTTAGTTCCAGTTGTATGGCAAATTAAATGTGAAAGTTATGTAATCGAGGCCAATAGATAAATGAAAGTTTGATGATGAATTCATAAAACAAATGGGAAAATAAGAAGAGCTCAGGTTCTATATTCTTTTTTTTAGAAGGATCATTTATCTTTAACAAGTTATTGTATAAATTGGCAATATTTGAAATTATATATATACATATGCATGAGAGAGGAGGAGATTAGAGACAAAAATATATAACCATGCATGATGAATCTGAAACAGTTTTAGTAATGACCTTCCTAGTTTTCAAACATAAAAAAATGGAAGCAGATGCAATAACAACAATGAAAAAAAAATATATTTACAAAATTCTAGTTCAAGTGAAATTTTTTTACACTGTCACTGGCCCCACTCTTCTGTGAGGTTTTTGAAATTGCAGCATCTTGCTTCCTCTCTCTCTCAATTGACAAGACAGCCAAGGAATTAAGGCAGTTCTTGACTCATTGTTGATCGCTGATATGATTTTATTAATTTCAGTTTACTGAAAGAGTGTTCTGCACTAGCCACTGTAACTGGCAAAGTTAGGTAACCTCGGAGAGCTTTGTTTGTTTGTTTGAATTAAAGCACAAAGCTACACAATGGGCTATCTGTGCTCTGCCCACCACAGGTATCGAAACCAAGTTTCTAGTGTTGTAAGTCCGCAGATATACTGCTGTGTCACTAGGGGGCCTCAGAGAGCTACAACAACATTTGAAAAAAACTGCATCATATCTGCAATTAACTATGGTTTGCATTTCAATGTAGTTTGTTTCTTTTAGAATTTTTAACTGATTTATGATTTCAGGACCAATGTCTTTGATTGAAAATGGAAAATCCTTTGCTGCTTGCTTTAAGTTTTCATCAGAGCTGTTTTGTTCTATTAAATACTGATGTAATTTGAAGCAACCCATTATTTTGTGAATATTACTAAATCACTCTTGAAGTTGCATCAGTATATTATCAACTAGCTTATTGAAGAATATAACTTTGAAGTGCTGTTCTGGGTCACAAGGAACTTCATTGTCAGAAATTTCATCATACCATCTTTTTCTTTTGTGTAGTCTCATAGATGTAAAATTAGGGTTACCACCAACTTCTTCAACAGTTGCCTTCATTATTTGTATTTCCAATCTTAACATGAAAATCATTTGTACACAGAATAGTAAAAAAAAATTATATATTCACAGACAAATAATTTTTCAGTTTATAAAAATACTTCACTAAAAATATGATTTTTTTGTGAAAGACTTATGTGGAAGACTGTATTAAAAGTTAGTAGGATCAAACTACAAAGACTTTAAATGAGTACAAAGAGGTCACATGATCAGTCATACCGACTGACCCCGTGTTAAGAGAGTTAATGACAAGTGAAATGAACTAAACAGGGACTTTTTTTATTGGGATTTGAGGCCCCCTTCTATTAGGGGCCCAGATGCTTAGCATTTCTTTTAGTATATAAGATAGTAAATTCTCCTAACGAGAGGTGTTACGGAATAATATTTGGCATTTGTTGAAATAGAGACAGTTGTGAGCAATGTGATTTTAATCAGTATTTACTAATATGTGTGTATTTGTCTCAGAACTAAACCATTTTATAATGATATACTATTTTGCTAATCCACAAAAAAACAAAAGTATTACTCAAGCTATTAAAATTAGCTGAG